GGACTAGTTCAGTTTGATGCAGAAAATTATTGTGAAGAAATCATTCTGGTTCACCATATTGTGACTGGCATTTGAACCATGTATCAGAATACAAGCAGAACTGATGACTCAATAGCTTTACAGAGGATTTAAAAATTCAACAACTGACCTTTCACTAAATGTGTATTTCCTCATTAAAAAACAGATTTCAGTAGGGATCAATGTTGAATTTAAATGTTTTTCATCAGTCCTGATATTAGCAGTTAGGACTTGTGAAGATCAATATAGCAGTTGTGAGAGAAACTAGAGGAAAGGCAAAAACCATCAACAGCTAAGCATGCTTGCTACTTAGTGAAACAAGCTGCATTTTGAAATTTCTGCAGACAGCACTTCTTAAACATATTACTGATCAATAAAAAGCTAAGCATTTTTAAAGAGTTTTTTCCTTCTATAAATAAAGAATATTTACATTTTTTTCAGACCAGAAACAGCATCAGGAATTCACACCCCCTTGCCTGAAATGGAAATTTCTAACATATAATGCTACAAATAGTCAGATTTTTTCCCCTTTTGAGAAAAAGCTTGCATTTTCAAAATGGCGTGGGTTACTCAAGCTCTGATGCTGAGCACAAGTTCCTACTCCTGAAACATCTACATTAATCCCAGTCAAGCAGAAATACCCCTACTTCTGCACAACTGAAAATCAGTTAAAGGACGAGACGATTTGTGAAATTTTTTTCCAATTTGCAATACCACGATGATTATGGTTGTTGAGTATCTTGCCAAAAAACGACTGCATGAGTCTACTGTAGAGATTAAACTGACTTCAAGATTCTGAAAAAGTCAGCACACCTTCTGAAAAGATTACATTTTAAGACTAATGACAGTCAGGAGTGAAAACAGAACAATCTTCATGGTAATCCTTCAAGGAAAGAAGGTTACAGCAGTTTCATGTCTCCCTGCTACAATCTTTAAAATCTGTTCCACCAATGTCTTGGGAATTTCCATTTCTTCCTCAGAGATCAATGCTGGTACACCGAGTTGTCTCATTAGAAAAAAGGTAGACAGGTGTGTGTGTATGTTCGGAGATTTTTTTTTGTACCAGCTTCTAACAAAAAGCATGAGCAGGGTAAAATCCACATAAAAGCTTTTAGTAACAGGAATGTTTATGGTCTGTGCATTTCTTCCACCTTGGTGTCCAATGAGTAACAATATACTTTTTTTGCAACGTGTCTGCTTTCATATTCAGAAGGCATTACCTGCCTTTACAGCTTCAATATCCGAAATCAATGTCCTGGCTAGGAAAATCCCAAAAATCTAAAAAGACAAAAAAAACAAACCATTTGTGAGATGAAACACTTGTACCAGTCTGCAAGATGTTTCTAAAAGTTAGAGCCTATTACCACTAGTCATTATTGCAGAATGGGAACCTACATCTTATGTGTTCCTATTACACTGTACTGACATCAGTGCAACTGCTCTTGTGAATAAAGATATGCATTCATGAAGTGTTTGCAGGTTCAGATATCATTTCATTGCCAGGATCATCCGTCAAAGCATGGCTATTACTAAAAAGTAATAAAGGTAGCAGAATCCTGCAGGAAATTAAACTCATGAGAAAAAGATGTCTTCATGTAACGCTTCAGGAGCATTCAAAATAATAAGCTTCTAGATGCCCTAGAGCTGGAAGAAATTCACTTAGCCAAGTTTACTTGAGTCTTGTAACACTCACACTTACCTATTACTAAAATTACAAATCAGGCATTTTCATTCATTCCACAACTTTGGATAATCTAGTCAATCTTCTGATCAATATTTTTTAAATACATACAGAATGTACAATTACCTGTACTAAAATGAAACTCTTGTCACAAAGAGTAGTGAGAAAAGTCCCAGATTATTCTGAGGCATTTAAATTTGAAATTTTAACATTCACTCAAGTTCTCAGGGAAATCTTCCTTTACAAATTGAAGATAAATTCATAACTCAGCACATTTCCTGAAACGTTCTCAGAAAAACAACAAAAGACTGAGGTGAAGTTTTGGAAAAGCCAAAAGATTTCTTTTAGACGTGGACAGGTTATGTCTAACTCTCAGTCCCACCATGAAATAGTTTAATGCACAAGACCAACCCAATTTGAAAATACAAATGACTGTGAAACCACTTTCACAGAGACTCAGGACATGAATAAGAACATCATCAAGTTATTGTCAGTCAACACACTACCAAAAGATTAGAATTCATATCTTGAACATCTTCCTAACTGAAAGTGTCTTTCTCAGGACATCATCTGTCAAAGCCATGGAAGCACTATCATTAGATTGTGATAAAATATCAAAACCAAAGCAACAGAGGGCAGTATTGCCATGGCTGGGAAAAGGTATTCTGCCAGCACTCTACGCTCAACTATTTTCAGTTAAATGGAAAATACACTCTGTAGCAGACTTACAAGTTTGTTATTTCCCACTGAAGTGAAGCAGTACCATAGCAAAGAAATTTAGGTAAGTGTAAACAACTGCCACAAAGAAAGCAGGATCCACCTCAAAAGAAGTAACCTCTCATGTTTTACTGAGTATTTTGGTTCTTTTTCTTTGATGTACCAAGCACCGGCAAGATACTGGAAGAAGTCACAGCAACTCCTTCATCTCATTCTGCTACTATCACATTTGCCACCTGTTCACCAATTTCCCAGCTCTTACTTTCTGAACTTTTTTGAGCAGTATGCTACACATCACTTACAGCCAGCTGAGTGGTAATCTGAGCATGAAGGACAGAATTGCATTTTAGTAATTTCATATTTGTGATAGAAGGCTGTAGTTCAGATCTACTGGAGTAGATTACCAGAAGATCTCTCCTCCCTTACGGTATATTAAGATGTAAGAAATATATTATTGTATCACATTATTATACAATAACATATTAGAATATTGCTATATTAATATATAACAATATAAATCACAATCATCATATACTGTATGTATTATAGTTGCATTATATTTTTATAACGACCTTCATTGCTTTGAGGAACATGATTTCAACAGAATTAAATTAGTTGATATCAGATATTGTCACTCTAAGTCCCCATCCCTATATTTTTTTTGCCATACTATTCTCATACATAAAAATTCCAGTGTCAAAATATTTACTGTACTTCTCTCCACAACTACTTTTACCTTCAACACATCTGTATCTGCAAACTTGAAACTTTTTTCAAAGTAGCTTAACAAAAACAACTAACCTGAAGCAGTGAGATAGCTATGAAGACACCTGCAACAACGTAGATATTTCGGGGTAACCAAGCTTCAAGAGCAAGGATACATCCTTTGACAAAGATCTGATCATCCCATTGACTCTTGCTCTGAATGTAGAAAGGAAGAATATTACTTTTCTGCTCAAGTTTATTATAAGATCAGTCAATCATATGATAGAGTTAAACGAACAATTTTTCACTTATGCAGTAATGTTTTTAACCAGAAGCCAGAAATACATATATGCCCAGATTAAATCAATGTCAGACATTGATGTTAGCAACTTCCTGCAGATCCTGTTATTAGAATACTTCAGAATTAGCAGATAATAGAATTCAGAGTTAGACTATTAGAATTAATAATTGAAATGCCCATTTGAAACACAAGTCCTACCCCTTTTTGAAACACACCTTTCCTTTTACCTTTACAAGTTCCATCACTTTTCTCCACCCTCCCACAGTAGAAGTTCACTTTAAGCAAAGGGAAATCTCTACCACACTCTACTTATAGGATGATGTAGCACAGTCAATTAGTTCCCAGAATTTTAAGCTGACATATCTATCAGCAATTCTACTGGTTTTATAGTTTTGCCTATGCAGACACAGAACATGACAGGCAGCAAGATCCCAGGACCTTACCTTCTTTCTCACATCATAGCCACACTGCGTATTCACAACTTTTTGCTGCAAAGCAAAAAAAAGATTTAAAATAAATCAATTGAGTTCTACACACTTCTGTTCACAGGAACTTTTTCTGTCTTTTAGATTCACAGACAAACAAATCAGGACTGTCAGAGCCAATCAATTTAAGAAGCATTTTTGGTAAAAAATTAGCAAAGCACTAGCAGAAGACAAGAAAAGTAATGACAAAGCAGAGGTGTATACTAGCAGGAAAACATCCTCCACGAGAAATCCCAGCTTCTTCTATCACTTGGCTTCCAACTAGCAAGGACTTTTTAACATGAAGCATAGCAACTGTACTGCCAGCATACAGAGAAGACATCTGCATTTCCAAGGTGAGTTTCACATTAGCTATTTCACAAACCACCTAAACACTGAAGTAACAATAAAGGTATCAGGCTGACTTATTTATGCCTGCAGTGGAGAAATATGCCTTACAACTCCATCATTTCAAGCAGTATACAACTTGCTATCCCAATCAGTTAAAACAAGTAACAGCTGCAACCCACTTGAGGACCCCCACCATTGATAGTTCAGTCTCACACATAACCCAGCTCCAAGATATACTTAGTCTTGGGATCTGCAACTGGAGTGTTTTGTCTTCAAGTAGGAAGACCATAAACACCTTCCAGATCACAACCCCACACAACCCAATGACAGTATTTATCATCTCGAAAGATGTAAAGACATTTCTTTTAAGACATTTTGTTTCCTCTGTATGAGACTTACGAAAACATGTGTATTACACAATTACAGCATAATTTACACAATGCATAGTGAGTTATACTGAAATATTAGGAGTAGAATCTCATATTAAAAAAAGATTTAAACATACTTATGTCTCTCTAAATACACGCCAGCAACAGAAAAAGTTGCAGTGGAATAGTACTGCTTCAAATTAAAGTAGAAAATAACTACTGGGGAATCTGAACATGGAATATTTCCCTGACCCAGTCTTTCCTTGGCTGATTTCCAAGACAATCAAAAGCCTTAGTATAACCTACCACTGGCTATCTGCTCCACACGAGGATTGCTGGACTCACTTTGAGTTGTAACTATTCCCACTGATGCTATAAAGCATTACATGTTAGTTCCTACCTCCACATTTTGGCTTCCACTTAAAGGGTCAGATTCCTCAAGTTTAGCAAACAAGATCTAACCAATAAGTACCTAAATTTTGCCAAAAACAGAGAATTGACTCAAATGCTTTAAACTGAGTTTGTGCACGAGCACTTTACTAGTTGCTGATAAACAATCAGCAAATGGAGCTACTCCTACTTGCCTGGCAGAGGGGTGGTGTAAAATTAATTCCACCTGGGGCAAACACACTGCTTAGACAGTGCTGTCAGGTCCTTACAAGCTAGATAACAGAGGCCAGGAATTCAAGGAAACAATGCACTGGGGGGGGGGGGGGCAGCCACCAATACTTGCAGACTCAAGCCATACAAAAATAGCTTGAATTCCCAGTGACAATTAAGTTTTCAGCTGTATAACAGGTTGCCACATACGGACTCTAAGAAGGATGGAAAAGAAACATGAGAAGAGTTTGTCCGCGCAAGAGTAATTTTTGATCATTTAGAAGACCTTTTAAAGCCCTAGTCATCGCACCACATTCAGGAAGGTCTTCCTTTCATAACTCTCCAACAACATCAGAGCAATACAAAGCCAGGAAACAACTTACGGCAGGATCAGGTATACAACAGGAAAAAGGAACACCGCACTTCTCACGACTTTTGCTTTCACTGCTACAGTTAAAGTATATGTTAAAGTCCCAGTCATCTGGACCTTGGGCACCACAGCAATGGTTCTGCAACAGATAAACACACACTTAGCATTTGGGGGTATTTTAGAGACAATTGAACGAACTCTCTGAAATGATATTTGTTCATCATCTTCACTTTCTCTAAGGCTGTGCAGAATCAGTGGCAACATCAGAGTAAAAAATGAGTAATCAATACTGTGGCTCTATGAAATCAAAGCAATACATTTGGCATACCGCTCCTAGAAATAGGTGTCAGCATGACAAGCAAAAGCATAAAAATTATCACTTTAGATGCAATTGCTAGGTGCAATCAGTGTACATCCATAAATGGTGCAACAAAATAAGTTTATACAAATGCTTTGTACCCCATTATTTCCAAGTCAACCAAAACCAGAAAAAAAACTATGAAAAATGTTTCTTTAAATTTGTGACTCCATCCTTAAATCTTGATGAATCAACAAAGTTTACTTCTCCTTGTTTACTGTAAAAAGTGCATCCAAACATTTGTGAATACCCTTCCTTTCTTTTAAATGAGAAGGTTTTCATATCCAAATGAATTAACTGGTAGTCTCACTAGCTCAAAGGTCAGTCAACTGTTTCACATAAGTTTCTTGACCTAAACAGTGTAATGTAATTACCATAGTTGCAGGTTGGAGAAATACCAACATTTCAAGGAATCTTCAATTCCTGGAACTAATGAAAGCTAGTTTCTTATTAAGTTATACTTTGCAGTTTACTGGCCTGGATATTTAAGGGCACAAACCTTTCTCTATAATTTGAGTACTTGAAATGTTATACCATCACACAGATTTTCATCTCATTAAGTTCCATCCTCTTGGGATATCTCTAGCATCTCTCTCCTCTCTGCCCACTGCCTGTCTTCTCAAAACTTGTATTAACCTAACTGTCTGCAAGATCACCAAAACTTCCAAGTCAGTAAATGGATTCAGAAGTTATCAAGTTGTGACAGACACGGATGTGAACAGAGAGCAGAATTGTTTATGCATAGTTTTCACAGGAAATATGACTAAAAAGAGCTGAACATAACAGTCAGAATACAAAAAACACCAAGAAAAATTTAAGTCACTAATACATTTACCATGAAGAAAGCAAAAGAGGTGCATTTTTGTCTTTCTAGTCCCTCCTCTGTCACACATCCATGCCTTTGTAAAAAGCCATACAACCACTAAACATGCTAATCTGCCTTAGTAAGGTACAGACTATGAGGTCACCTACAGGCCTGAAAGTAATATAATTAGCCAGAGCAAGGAGCTGCCTACAAAAAGCTCTCTGGGTCCAAAGACACACATGGAGAACAGAGCAAGTCAGCCTAAGGAACATGGCTCCTTAGAAGATGGGCTTCAGTGAGGCATTTGAACACACTGCTGCATCTTGTTGTTCAACCCTTGCAGAGCTAATCCGCATTACATACTTCCCCTCCTTCCTCAGTACTTTCAGGTATGGATCAACGACAGGCCAATTCAGAGATTTTTCTGGTCTTTCCTTTTTCAGATTTATTAGCTTGTTAATCTGGCTAGTGAACTCCTCTTAGTAAGCTCAGCCTTTGATTTTCTTTGAAAAGTATTTAACTGGAGTTCAACTGTAAATCAGCTTAGCATATTAGCCTGGCTGACTGCACTGAGACTAGATAAACAATGAGCAACAACAGAGCGGACAACACCGAGACAATTACTGGTGTTGGTCTTTTTCCAGGAAGAGCCCTACCTTACAAAAAGGTGCCCTTAAGAACGCAAGCTGAAGCAAAAGAGCAGCGAAATCCATCCAGGAAGCTTAGTCAGAGGATGCTTCTGTATCAATGCACGCAAGAAGTGAATGAACAGGATAGGTAAGCTGCTCGTTAATATACAGCTGACCAAACTGGTATCCACTCTAAAACACGCTTTGCTATCAACCTGAGCTGTGAGCACAGATTTCTAAACATCATCTTCTAGAAGATGGAAGACAGACAAAACCAACCTTCTTTCATAAGGGAACAAAAATATAAAGGAGACAACATTATACCTCTCTGTGAAGTACTCACATATGTACCCTGTTTCTCTCCATATATATTTTTCTAACCACACACAAATAAACAAAAATCAGAAGAGTCACCCTCACTGGTTGTTTCCTGGGCATGATTACAAAAGCAGCTGATTGAATGAAAGCCATCAGACCCTTATTAGCACAGGCCTTGTCATCTCCTGGTGTACTTCACTGTCTTCTGGTAACTGAAGATTTTATGACCACAGGAGCGTAAAATTGTTTCAACCTTCCTTGACAACTGCCTGACTAGAGACTAGCCTTTCCCAGTTAACAAAAATCCTCTTTTGTTTCAAGATGAGGTGCACCTCAGAAGATAAAAGGCCCTGCGCTGCATCCCTGTATAGGACTACACTGCCTCCTAAAATCAGAGTGCAGACTACCACTGCACAACTTTTTCAGGATAAGAAGTTTTTTTGTTGCTCACTTCTCACTTAAACTGGTGCAACAGTGATCAGAACAGGGGAGCAAGTCAAGAAGGTCAAAAGGCAGATGGATGCTTGGCAGAGCTTCCACATTCACAGTTAGAACAGCACTGTATCTCAGTATCTTGCCTCCCTGATGCTTTCAATGCAGAAAGATCAAAACAGCACTTCTCTAACACAGCACTATTAGCTACACAATATGATAAATCTGTAACATAAAGGAAAACTTCCAAATACAGATTCTCCTAGAACACTGGAAAGAAGTGACAGGATATGAACTTACGATTTTCTGTAGCGAATCAATTAGGTTCTGGAGGTCAATATCGTCTCGGTAGGATTTAATGTTATTCTCAAAGAATTCCTTCACCCTGTCCCTCACCCAGTCCTGGAACAGGAAAGCCAAAACTGCCACTGCCAGCTCCAAGCTCCACAGAACTGTAAAAAAAATAAAAAAGTCCCAAATCAGAAAATATCCATTCATTTTGAATGCATCCCTACTCCAGCTCCACCAGAAACAGACAGAGAATTAGGTTAAAATTCTCACTCAGTACAGATACCGTGAGAACACAGCCTGTTAAATGAGAATACAATGTAAAGAAACCCCCAAGAAGTAGAGTTGTCTTTTTGTTTTGGTCACCTGAACTTGACAGTAAAATGAGAGTCATACCACAGTCATTACACACAGCTGTGAAAATATTAATAAATGAGAATCTGCAAAATACAGGGCTAAGGTAGTCTTGATGTTACTTACTGGACTGTTCCCAGTTTTATAATTTTTTGTTCAGCTTAACTGCTTTCAGATCTAAAGCAAAGAAGACACCTCAGTATAAAAACAACCATTTAGGAGATTTCACATCAAAGTCCCCAAGTTTTGCCCATCAAACATTTAGAAGAACTTTAAGTTTTTAAGGGATTTTGTTCTCCTAAGCCACTATACTATCTCCTCTCAGTAATTCCTAACTTACTAAATATGTTCCAGAACATCGTATTTTGTGATATTACACACACAATGTTAGATTCTGGTATACATACTATAACATCACCACTATATAGCAGAATGACTGAAAAAGGGAAGAAACATTTTCCAGAAAGGGGGAAATATACACGGGTTTGAACCTAAACTGCTTTTAATACCATTACTCAGAGGCTCATCAGGGGAGTAAGTTTACCATGCACATTGTAACAAAACAAATTCTATAAATTAATTACCTGGGTTTGCTACTAGTTCTTCACCCATCGTTCCCAGCTTTCACACACATAATAATCCACTCATATAACGATGTTACTTACAAACTTCAGAAGGCAGATGTTTTCTCTCAGTGCTCCTACACAACCAGCAAATCCCAAAGTAAACATCACTATTCCCACTACTAAGACAAGCACCACTGGGTCCAGTCCATGAAGACCAGTCACCTTCGTCAGATCAGACAACACACCCTGAAAGAGAAAAACAGGATAACAGGAAGTAGTGACCACTATAAGCATGTTTTTCATTTAACGTTCCTTATGGATGTCCATGATTTCCACATGATTCCAAGTGAATTGGTTGCAAACCCTTGAGCTCGCCAGGAGCAACCCACATGGAAAAGTCTTGCTGTAAAATGGTTATTGACAATACCAATTTTCTTAACCCTAGCGGAGGAAGTATTAATGCAAATTTATAGCTATTAATTCTTTTAATAAGTAAATCTAGTGCACTCAACTTCTCCAATTACATTCTCCTAGGTCTATTTGCCAAACAAGCTTCCACAAGATGGTGCCAAAAGCTCAATACTATCACTGAATACTCATTTAGTTTCAAGGCAAAAGACTTAATGCTTTATATTAACTTGAAATGCATCAATAAGAAGGGCACTCCAATTTCAAACTCTTCAAAAAAATTAAGAAAATAATTTTTCTAATCCTAATGTTGAGGGAAAGGGAGAGACATTTTAACTACAAAGCAGGTGACATTTTAAGGGAAGAGAAACAAAATCTTGTTTTGGTTTTCAAGGGAAGCAGATTCTTCCTCTCAACATTTTAGTTATACCCCTTCTACTGCTGAATAGTCTTAGGAATGTTCCCCCAAAATCTTGCAAAAATGAAGTATACTCAAAATACTCCCCTTTTACCCCAGACAAAATTCTTACACCAAAATAAATTATCTATTCCCTATAAAGACACTTGCAATTTGCCTAATTTAGCGTCAATATTCTCTTTTTTGTTAACTATCCAGAGACACCACTTTTCTTACCTATTGAGCCTGTCTGCCTAGATCTTAGGACAGAATTTCTGAGTCTATTTAAATGTAATGGTAACACAGTGAAGCCCTTATTTCTAGATTAGGTTTTAAAGAAATAAAGTTTATATACCAGCTACCATTAAAATTCCATCGAATACATATAATATAAGCTTCTTGTATAATGTGCAAGAACAAGATGCAACATGCAGAAGACAGAAGGGACAAACAGTCGAAACTTTTAAAGTTAACGAGAACAATTTGTAGGGACATCCAAGCAGCTTTGCAATAGTGTTCATCATACACTCATCAGCAATATACAGACCATTTTTAAAGGGAAAGTACTTCCTTATTAAACAGAGAAATAACAAAAATCAGAGTACAATATATCAATTACATGTTTACTACCTTTTGTTTTTTTCTTTATAAAGTATATTCTCAAGCTAACTATGTTTAGTGTAAGAGAAAGATATCAGAGAGACTTGTAAAGCAATTCATATAAGCAGTCTAATTCTGTCAAGGGACTAAATTCTCATCTTGCTACTGAGGTGTTTGTGCTAGAGTTAAGTGCAAAGACTATACATCCTAAGAGAATACCTTGGAAAAATCTGTATCGCTTTGTAATTAAATGCTTAACAAAAATAATTTAACTGTAGAATGCAGAATTGCCTTGCAACAGCTGGTGATTAACAGCTGAAATAGCCCATTAAGAAGTGGTCACAGCATATAGATTTCCCAGCATTCAGAAAGCCTTGGGAAGCAAAGACTTTTCTAGTTAGTGTCACCAATGACATGTTTCCATTCTTACAAACTGTAAGACCTCACAGCTAACTATCAAACTTGGTCTCCTGGGTTAATTATGAGAGTCTCGCCTAAGCAAAACTTGGCTCAGACCCCACAATCAAGGAAGACATGCCAAGATTAGCTAGGCTAATCTGGTGTCTTTATAGAATCAACACACTACGAAACCAAGCACTGTGTGACCAGGATGTTGAAACTTTCACAACTATTTCCAACCATCTCCTTCCCGCACCCAAACTCAAACTTTTTTTTCAGACAATCTCGCTTGCTCAAGCAACATCTTTTGGAAGAAAACTTCCTCTGATCAAAGCATGTTATGAAGAAAAGTTGGCAGGAACTGGGCTCTATTATTCACTCTCAGATGCTGCTGGTTCACAACGGTTTTTCATATTCACATTTGATGTTTACAACATTCTCTTTTCAAAAGAAGGATGTGTGGGGGGGGGTTGCCTAACAAAAAATGTTAAGTGAAAAATCCTGAAGGAAGTAAGTAAACAAAAGAATTAATTCAGGGGACAATCTCATTCCACCTTACACATCTCTCTAAGGATGCTTCTGCCTGTGCCATCTGCAGGGTGGTAAAAGCCCTCTGAAGCACAGGCTGCCCTTTACAACAGCACCTAAATTTCCTACAGGTATGCAGAAATGAGGTCTGATACCTGAAGTCAGTGTAAAAAATACAAGAATAAAACTCAGCCTTTAAGTCTTCCTTTCAGTCACTTAGAACAGTGAATTAAGAGTTAAACTGTACATGCTTAACTTGTTTTTACATTTTCTTTTAACACTTGTAAGCATTATGCCACCATCTCAACTGAAGTGAGTTGGCAACTGAGGGCAAACATGGATTGTCTTTAAAAAAAAAAATCTCTAATACAGCCCATTAACAAATGCCAAACCATTTACTGTTTTGAGATACACTAGTATGGAAACTACAAAACACATCTGACAAGGACAGAGTTGATTTCTTATAATGAAGTTCTGTGAACTGGATGTTGATTGTCACAGTATTGCACTGCCACTGATCATAACACAAGTTACATGCATATACTTTTAGACAGTTTACATACTTCTGTGTACAAACACAAAGAACAGCAGGCTACAGAATAAGTACATTTTATCATAGAATAAGTTAAGGTTGGAAAAGACCTGCCTGACACAGGGGAGCCCAAAACTGGATACGGTACTCCAGATGCAGCCTCAAGTGTGATGAATATTGCTGGAAGAAGCTCCTCCCTCAACCACTGGCCACACTGCTGCGAACGAGTAGGCTGTTAGCCTTGACAAGAGGGCACACCTGACACAACTTCCTGATCAAAAGGAGCTCAAGTTGTTTTTTGTTTTTTCCCCCCTCACAAAGCTGCTTTCTAGGCAGTCAACCCCCAGCCCATACTGATGCATCTCAGGCATAGGATTTTGCATTTGCCTTTTTTTTTTTTTTTTCTTTAAAATAAACTTTCATAAGGTTCCTGTCCACCCATTTCTCCATGCTCTTGAAGTCCCTCTAAATAAGTCCTGCTTTGAAGTAGACTCTATCCATTTGTTATTACGCATGAACTTACTGGAATGAAGTTAAGCTGACTAGCCTCTCGTTTCCCAGATCTTCCTTTGTGCCCTTCTTGAAATGGTTTTACCAATAAAAACTGTTTTCCTGATGAGAGGGCTCAGTGTTAATCATCTTGCTTCTATTAACAGTTTATTATAATTCACTTTCTCTTAGTGATTTTTGCAGTATCTCCTGGGTGACAGATATTAACATCTATCCAGTTTTTATTGTGCAGACTTTTAAAATTTTATGCAATTTAACTTTTACGTGACTGTTCAGAATAACAAAACCCAGTTATAAGATCATAAGGACAGGCCAGTAAGATACACCAGTTAAAGAGACTGGATTTGACTCAAACAGGTAATGCAAATCAGGATGGGTAACATTTTTACATATAGTATTTTCAACACTTCTCGCAAACCAACATTCTCATTTCAATATATTATCAGCTAAAAAGAGATGCACAGGATTTATATCCAGAGAAGAGACTGCTGAGTGTAGTCCTAGTGGAAAAAGACAAGAAAAAACAGAGAAGTTAAAGGGACTCAATGTACTTCATGTTGCACTAAGAGACAGGATGTTCACAACTTTTCAACCACCTGTAGTTTATCTTTGGGTTTACCACTGCAGCACAGCTTCTGGAATGTTTGTCTCTTACTTCCCATCTATTGTTCACCAAGATGTTTATCCATAAACAGATGGATCTATACAGGCACTATGGCTGAAGAATGGCACTAGTATGAAAGACTGTCTACATAGCACAGAACAGACGTGAAAAATAATGTACAGATTTCACGAGCCATTCAGAAGTTCAAAACCACAGCAAAAGCTTTGAAGCACTTATTTGCAAGATAGGACAGAGAGCAGAAATAGTTCAGGCAAAATCTAAGAAATAAAGACAGAAAGAGCCTGTCTTTGCCTTTTAGTATCTTCATTGTACCATAAAGTCCATTTGGCAAATGGAGGTAGTTGTGAGCTAGTAACTTCCAACCACACAGATCCTATGTGCTTCTTTACAGAACAGAAGATAATGTCTGAACATGAGAGAATACAAATTCAAGACAAGTTTAACACCCTCCCTAATGGGTTGGAAAGAAAATCCTTTTATAACAACAGAATAGGAGGTAAACGCATTTGTGCGTGGAGACAGGCTGCTTACTATGTATCAATGATATCACTAATCTAGTTGTGAGAATGTGTGCACACACATAGGGAGCGGGGAGAAGAATACATACCTCAGTATTAAGACCATCATAAAACTTTCACTTCTAAGAAGGGGAGGAATCCCAGAACCTCTCTGTATGTGGGTAGCTGCTGCGTCTAAGCGCTCTGATTAATGAAATGTTACACTACAATGGTAATTAGTGTTCCTACTCAGCAGCACAACTGAACAGTAAGGGCACCTGCCCTCCACTGTTAATTAAGAGGCAGATCAGTAAATCCACTAGTAATTGTCACTTTTTCCTACTGTTTGTAGTCATATTAAAGCCATGCTTTTACATTCATAACAAGGGGTGAACTAGTCATTTCCAGACCTACATCATCTCTTGTCTTGTAAGAAGAGAACTCTGTAGGTACATGCCTGCACAGACTTCCTCTGATTGAGGAAGTTATTCAGCTGAAAGAAACCTTTGCCAAAAATAAGAGTGTTATTCAGCTAGATCATGTTCCCCAGTTTTGTTCCTCTACATGGAGACACAATCGCTTAAGTAACTCCATGGGGAATGAAGTGGAAGACAACAGATGTCCTGAAGACTGGAATACTACAGAAAGATGATCCCAAAGATATATGGGGTGTTGGCTTTTGTTTTGGTTTTCATTTTTTTTTAATATAAAAACAGATCTCTTGCATTCCTCCCAAATGCTTCTTCTTTTTAATAAAAAGAGGTGGGTAGATAAGCATATTTTAGAAAATATGCTTTCAAAAGAGAACCAGTTCATCATAAAGACTATTCATAAAGATTAAATTCTTCCTAGCATCCTATGCTTACAAGTTTACAAAAACAAGATTTAAACATCAAGGGCCACAGCTTAACAGCTGATCAGGTACAAGAATGAAACTCCAACTGAACTCAGTTTAGATCATTTGAACATGGTCCTGAGCCCACATGCTACATTTAATCATTGCTGCTTCCCAAGGAAGTAGTTATACTGAGGCAGGCAGCAGCAGAGGGCAGCCACCAAACGCAGTAAGACCAGTCATTTCTACCCTTACCTTTTCACTCCATGCCCACAGACCAGCTGCAAGGAAGGCCACTCCAGCCAGCTAAAAAAAAAAAAAAAATAAAAAAATGAATTAGATATACTAATCAACACATTCTTAAACACTTAGCCAGCAGCACTGCTGCTTAGGTAAAGCAAATATTGTCTGTAACCTCAGACAATAGTAATGGGACATTCCTGCCCATGAGTCAGTCTCTTGCAAAAAGGATTTAGAGTACTTTTATTCCATAGCATTCTTGCATTTTATAAACTACTTTTAAAAATTATTTCAATTTGATTATTCATGATTACTCAAGAAGCACACAGTACTAAATTAACAATTCCACACAGCACCAGGCAAAGAGTTATCCTTGTCCCAATGACTTGTTCTAAACCTTCTGCCTGCACACTAATGAAGATTTCAGAATATTTAATGCATTTTGAGGTTATTCCCTATTTAGTCATTTTATAGTACCACCCCCAGACAGTTGCCATGCTTGACCCTTCATAACTTCTGTGTCAAGGTTCATTATAGTAGCCTCTTCTCTAACTAGATACAGTTTGTCTTCTGAATCCTTACCTTGTTTAAGCCCTTTTGAATTAAGCTGAAGTAATGGTCCATCCACTTACTTTCGATAAGCAACAAATCTAATTTACAAGTACAAACCCTACACCAATTCATGTTTGTATAATAAATTTCTGAATTATAGTCATCCAAATGAAGCAAGAGATCCTTGTTCTAGTCTTTTATTCCCTTTCTCCATTCTCAGGCAGTTTGTCTTTAATAGCCAGTTTCAATAATCAAACTAAAACGACCTCTCCACAAACTGAGGGCAGCTCCCCCTCATTACTTAAAATGTCATTCTACCCTGCTACGTCCATGTAACCTTAAAAGACATGGAGGTCCTGGAGCATGTCCAAAGAAAGGCAATGAAGCTAGTGAAGGGTCTAGAGCACAAGCCTTATGAGGAGTGGCTGAGGGAACTGGGGTTGTTTAGCCTGGAGAAAAGGAGGCTGAGGGGAGACCTTATAGCTTTCCACAACTACCTGAAAGGAGGTTGTAGCGAGGTGGGGGGTCGGTCTCTTCTCCCAAGTAACAAGTGGTAGGACAAGAGGAAACAGCCTCAAGTTGTGCCAGGGGAGGTTTAGATTGGATATGAGGAAAAACTTCAATGAAAGTGTAGTCAGGCACTGGAACAGGCTGCCCAGGGAAGTGGTTGAGTCTCCATCCCTGGAGGTATTTAAAAGACATGTAGATATGGCACTTAGGGACATGGTTTATTGGTGTACTTGACAGTGTTAGGTTTACAGCTGGACTTGATCTTGAAGGTTTTTTCCAACCTAAATGATTCTGTGATTCTATATAAAGGACTGAGGTTGCTCCTCCACCTCACCCCCTGAAACCTTACACACATTGACAAGTAAATCTCAACAACTGAAAAAACACCTTGAAAAAAGGGGCCCTTTCCTCTACGAAGTGCAGCATCTTCCATGAACTAAACAGGTATTAGGCAATTCCCCACAGCACAGGCAAGAAGCAAGAATGGAACCCTCTTACAGTCACACAAGAAAATATATGTGTAGATTTTAAGTACTGCTGGGTTCACTGCCTGCTGATCCTAAACTGCACCTGGGGCGAATGAAGTTGTTCTGAGTTTACTCTGATGGGGGGGAGTGCAGATTACACAGTAGACACAGCTGGATCTTTGGGAACTTTTTCTAAAGAAATGAGAAAAAAAAAAGAATTGCTAAGACAAACGTCTTCTACACTGTATGCAAACTAATGTTAGTGTAACACTAATACTGTGCTATTGAATATACAAACAGGGTGTCCTCTTCAGACTGGCTGCCTTTCATTATAATTACCATCTTAATTAAATTGTAATAGATCCTTGATTAAGTAGATTTTTCACTAGCATGCTTCATTCTCACCCCTGAACACAAGCATTGCTCTCATGTTTTTATAGTGTTCAGTTTCACAAAACTGCACTGTTTTTGCAAAGTTATTTCCATGAGCACCTGTGCAAACTATCTACAAGTAAGACAGAGTAACTAAGCAAGAACAAACTGGACTACCCAACTCACTTCTATGGCATAGAGTCATTTAAGCCATATACTGTATGAAAGGTTAGATGGAAACATACACAAAGCAGCTCAACTGTACCCCGTTGAACGGGAAACTAAAACTAGTAACCAGCATTTGGTCACTTCCTGCTTTAGAACTGAAAAATCCACATTATTAACATATTGCATCGAGCTGTAAGCTCTGCTCAGGAGACGTGCAATACTGACACCAACTCACAGACAACATGCACAAGACCACTTAGCTTAAGCTTTATCCATTTCCAACCACACTTGGAATTCCTTTGACTATGCTATTAGAATCACCCTACTAACTGAGAAAACAGATCCAATTTGTTTCTCAAATCTAGGTTGCAGCTAAACATAATTCTTGCAAGAAAACCTTTGCACACAAACTGATTTTGGGTCAGCCTGCCTCAAGGTCTCATTAGAAGCAATGGGAATGCATTCCTGTTGCGCTCCGTTTTTGTAAGCACAAAATGTTACTCTTACAGAGAACGCTTTTTCCATCCCCCTGGACAATCCTATTTACATTGTGGCTCCACCCATGCTGGAGCAATCAGCAGCTTACAGCCCTTCCTTCCTACCCTTGTCTCTTCCCAGACTTTTCCTCTCAGGGTCAGGAAACCACCTGGTGGTGGATTCTTTCCTCTTCCTGGCACAGCCTTGCTGTTTTAGATGTTCCTGAAAAACAACATACACTACAAAAGCCAAGAAAATCTTATGCTAGCCTAGGTCTTCTCTTACTTTTCAGAAGTGAGCTCAGAATTATTTTCCAGAGCTTAGGAGAATTTTTGCCCTTCATCATGTTCAGGGCAAAAATTCCACATCTCCTGTAGCACGAGTGAGAAGTTTCATTTTTTTCTCTAAAAACCCTTAAGAGTGACACACAAAGATGCAGGGTATTAGAAGCTAAATCAAGATGACAGAAGCTAAAAGCTATTTTACCCTCTCATCTCAATTCATCTGAGAGACAGTGAGCTCACAGGCAACCTAAAAGGCTTTCGCAGAGCACACATGCAATCCTTCACTTCACTGACATAGCCATGTCCTGGCTGAGGTGCAGTGCTTGGACTATGCCAAAAAAATCCTTCAACTGGAGACGAAGCAGCAAGCACCAGAGACAGGTGACTGAGGCACCTCCTTTTATTCCCTGGGCTTTTCCAAGTACAGGCTGGAAGGCATAGAGCAGTGCTGCACCACAAGACAGGGCACCCCTGGGGTCAGCTGTCCACCCCCTCCCCTGCGGCTTTCACAGAAGGACTCACTCAATTGCAAAATGACTCAGAACAGAAAGGTGCCAGAACCAAGCTCTTCACCTTGTATTACTACAGTCTTTTAATTCCATTATGTCAAATGAAGCTATTGGACCAAAAAAAAAAAAAAAAAAGTTTTAAAACTCAAAAGGAGGTCCAGCCTTGATGTAATAGGGAAATTTCACTTAAACTTCTGAGCGCTCCCTGCAGGGCTATCTTAATGGTTACAATACTGCCTCATCACTACTCATTAAAACAAGTGTATTTGGAGAAGTTAAGTCTTATTAGCATGCTTAAAAAGCAAGATGAAAATAAAAGTAATCCCACATTAAAATCATGCCTCGGAAGACAGAGCCTTCCTATGACCTCCATTCCCTTTCTTATAAGGAAAAGTCAAGCGCAAAGAACAGAGGACTGATTTTGCAAGCCAGTTCTACCCCACTAACTCAAAGCCAGCAAAACTGAACCTTCTATTGCCCAGTTGCCCATCTGAAAAAAAAAAATACCTTCCAAAGAATGAAGATTTACAGACTTCTAAAGGCTGATTAAACTGTGAGCTTGCCATTATTAAAATAGTCGTATTTGTCCTCTTTGAGTTCAATATTTTGTTCTACCCCAATGTATGTGAACTGTATTTGAAACATGACAAACTGAAGAAAAGTAACCATCCACTAAAAAGTTTGAATATTCTGTAAACTACTCAGTCACCATATGCTTTAATTTTAAAGTTTATACAGTCACTGATACTATCTTTACTGCTACAAAGGTAGTAAAAAAAAAAAAAAGCAGGCAACTTTAGTAAACCTGGACAGAAGAACAAATGCAACTCTTTATTTACATGTAAATTACCTGGCTTGTGAATAAACTGTGTCATGTATTGAGACACAGGTGAGCTACCACCAGATCTCCAGTAACAGCTTAAGTGGGCAAAAGGCTGTCTGCACACCTATCTAAATACCATCCCTCATACCCACTACATAGTGGCCACCCTCACTAACACACACACACACTCACAAAACAAGCTCCCACAAGCACCTGTCCTGCAAGCCAAGAAAAGTGAATCAAGACTAACATTCCCTCCTTAAATGCTGCTTTTTCGAGTCATGGTTACATTTATCTTCCGAGTTTGAAGTCCTTCAGTTCTTTTAAGGCATGTAGAAAATTTACTTTTAAGGCATGTAGAAAATTTACTTTTTACTTACCATCCACACAATGGATTTGACCAATTAAAGATTTACACTAGTCATCCAGGCCAGCCAGATGTCAAGGGCTCCTGAACCACTGTGTCAGCTAAATGACTCATGCATTGCCTATAGGAGTGTCTACCCTCCCCAATTAACCCTTACTGGAAAAATGTTTCTATACAAGCCATACACATCTTTTCTGTCCTGTCATCCACACAAGGATAAACTCCCCTGCGGCTTAATGCTACTGTATCATGTCAAAACTGCACTAGTAAACAAGAGGTAGTGACAGTAGCAAAAAGTTCTGTGGTTTTCAACAGCAATACCCAACCATTGCAGTCTCGGTATTACCTGGCCTTCTAACACTACTAGGCTGAAGACAGCAGAAAATTGATGAGTAAGAAGCTCACAAGACTCGCAGCTCTTCTCTTTGAGCAGTGATTTCCTACCCTACGGGTCTTGCTTGGAACAGAAAATTGGGCCAGATGACCTCCAGAAGTTCCAAACAGACTTCTCTATGATTCTAAATTAATTCAGAGTTTTGTCCATCATACATGCAGATTTCAAAAAAGCTTATTTTCTACCTTAAATACTGCCAAAGCAGCCAAAATGTGCAGAAGCACCAACCTAGTTTGCCAGAAGTTTATGTGGGTTAACCAAGCAAAATACCAAGTCATTATTGACAAGTACGAACAAGATTCTGCAGCCTGCAATTTATGTTCAGACACTAACCCCCTTTTTTTACTGAAGTTAAATACAGACTTGGGTAACAATTCTGTTTATCTTAAATTTTAGATAGTAAAAAGTTGACACAGTTTAAGGAATCACAGTAAACAAATAGAATTAATACAGTCTTCTCTAGTATGTCTACTGATCTCAGACAAGTCGGGATCAGCAGAATCAATTTTTACTCCTAACTTAAAGGAGTTGCTTCAACCACATACCATACTTTCATTCGTACTATCTGATCCTTTTGGCTTTGAAAAAAAATCTAAACATCTTTAGAAGTGGCTATTCATACTAAGAAATATTGCAACTCTCAAAGAGAACATGAATCCAAGCTGCTAGCAGGCAAGTCACTGTATCTGCACTTCTCCATGACTACCCATGCCTTTCCATGACTGCAGTTTCCATAACTTCAAGTGCGAACTCCTAACATTTGACCTGCCAAGTTCTGAAAAGAATTATCAGGTTTATCTGAACTGCATCCTTACCTTCACCTTCCCCTCACAGGCTTGTTAACTATTTCTAATACAACACTATGCACTAACCTTTGAATCACCTTCTTTTCCAAGGTAGTTAGGTGCTTCAGTGATCTATCTTCAGTGACTATCATACACATTTAAAACCACTCACCCATGTTTGCACCCTTTTCACATTCACAATTGTAAACAAACATTATAGGCAGGCTAGTCCCCAGCTAAGTATTTCAAGACAGTATCAGACAATTTTGCTGCCAGAGCATGACATTTAAGATCTTGACTGTGTTGTAAGCCAGCTATTGACACATCTCTGGAGCAGTTCCTTTCTTTTATTCTGCATAGTGTATTTACAGCTATACCACCCCAACACAGAGATCAAAGATTATCTGAAAGGAGATACTAGAAGAGACTCCTCTTAACAGGGAAGCAACTTAACATACCACTTAAGTGCACTTAAGAAAAGTAGCTTTAACCTTTGCCCAAACACAACCAGTATTTAATGGCCTCCATCATTCAAAAGACAAAGGCCTTGTCAGTAACAGCAGAGACTATACTATTTTCTTGTGACAAATCCTTTAAGCAGACCTGTCCTTTCTCCATTAAAAACAAGAAAACCAGTTTTATCTGCTTCACTCTATCTTCACTTAGAAGGTAAGATAGGAGGAAGGGGCATGGAAGGGAAAGATTGTAAGGAATCAATATCCATATAATTTTCAATAATAACTACCTTCTCACATGGGATAGGCTTCTTCAATTCTAAAACACCTGGGACATACCATACATCAGCCTCCTGCTTTCAGGTAAATATTTCACCTGTTCTCTTGAAGAAATATGCAGGAAGTTAATAAGACTGAGGTATGCCTAAACTATTTCAGTCTCTACATTTTGTACTCACCCAGAAGACAATGTTGTAGCTGAAGAGCAGGTATTTGTACCAACAGCTGACTTCTGCATTAGAATATCGGTAATAGTGCATCTTCTATAGCACAGCGTCTGCACAGAAGAGAAAGGATAAGAAGAATTAGGATAAGAAGAATTAGGCAGTGACAGATTTTAAGAATAAAGGACTTTTTTCCAGATCTCTCTTGCTCTGTTAAGAAAGGGACTATAGTAACCTGTACTGTATGCCATTCAGAGGTATGTTCAAAGTCAAATCAGAAACTTCTGCTGACCCTAAACTCCCTCTAAGTATTTGTTGCTTAATAACCCTATCTTCTTTAAGCACCCTTATGTGGTAACAGGGAGGAACACCCAAAAAGGAAACTAGCTATAGGAAGATCTGCATCAGCAAGTTGACATTCATCTGCTTTCTCCTTCAAAACCATTTTACTTACAGACAGCTGCTTGGACTTACACAAAAGTCTAAACACACACCTTGTCGATTGCACATCCAACAACCCTGCTAGCAGGATGTTAGAAGTGGCTACCTGGAAAACCTCAGTGTCTATAAGATTGCTAAATACAACAGGCAGTTGTACTCTGTCTTTTCCATACTTTAAAATTTCTTTACCAAATCGGTAAGAGGTTTTATTCTCAAGAACAAAAGCCCCACCGTTAAACAGCTAATCTGCAGAGTTCTGTTTTCTTGCTTCCTTATGTACACTAGAGATAAGGTTCAACTGTTGCTCAAATATTTCAGAGAACTACAGCTTTTCAGAGTATCTAACTAAACCACCTTTGCAGAAATGCCATGCATAGGAAAAAAAAAACAGAGCACAAGCTGTTAAACTGAGAGCTGGAGCAGGGAATACAAAGCACTCACACAGCCCTCGCATTCTAGAGAACTGACCACACAAGTGCTTGCCTACGTCTGACAAGAAGCAGTTCCACATTTCAACCCTCCACTTGCTTGAGGTAAATGTTTTCCTCCCATAAGATGTCAGTGAAAGGCTTGCAACAGGGAAGCAAGCACAGAGAATTTTCAAACACCTCATAACTAAGAAAAAGACTTCAAGGACTATGCTGACATGGACATTCACGGACAGCATGCAAAAACCAAGCCTACCCAGCAAAGTCTGAAGCCAAGCAAATTCTCCACCACATCCACAGCTATGAGAAGGGAAAATAATTTTTTTTTTTTTTAGAAGGCAGTCTGCACCTGGGCGTAAAAAACAACCCCACTGAAAGAAGGAACAGAACCAAACACCTGTCAGCTTCGAGACTCCCCTTCAATATAAGAAACATCTTGCTTTAGCTTTTAAGTGACATACCGATTATTTTCCAGGACAACTATGGAGTACTACCATCAGTGTCTTATTGGAGGAGCTTATTTTTTGAAATCTCAACACAAATATTTCAAACCTTGTCTTAAACTTTTTTCCCCTGAGGCTAAAACCACACACACACACAGATCAAGGACACACAACAGACATCTCCAGCCCAAGAGACTATCCCAAACAGACTTTGATTTTCCTTCCAGAGGTCTCCCATGCCAGGCTTGGCTTCCATCTGGAAGCAGACTGAGAGTCCCTCCTTGGTCCAGACACATCCCCCATCCCTCTTCAACCCCAGCCAGGAAGCTTCTTTGCTGCCCAATCAAATGGAAATAGTTTTCAGAAATGCAGAGACCACATAGACAATCTAAGGAGCGTACACATTTGGTATAATGCTCCATAGCTTTAAGCAGTCATGGAAAAAACAACTGGAAAATCATGTGACTTGGCATACTGAAGTAAGATGGCAAGACTAGTGGACAGAGAATAATTTCTGCTTTTTTCGAACTAAGATGGTCTGCATGTGCATAAGAGGAATTTTCAGATCCTACTGAAAGTTGGTATGTATTACACAAGTCATACTGATCCACTTGACATGAATTAGATTAATTTGTATATAATAAATCCAGACATCACCTAAGTAGCCTTTACACATATGCTACCTATGCAGGTTGCTTAAGATACATTACCCACAGGCAGCTCTACATTAGTGCATCTGGACAGACACAGTAGCAACAGAAAAAGCATTAAAAGGAATTACTCCTCCTGATTCCATATGAGATGGAGTAAAAATTCCATATGAGATGAAGTAAAACTGAGTTAAGTCAGAACTAAAACATTTTTTCCCTCAATGGCCCCAGTAAAGGGCCTGAACACACAGAATGAACTACTTAGCTGGTTTCAGAGAAATGGCAGAGTCCGGAGAATGATTAAAGGATATACTGCACATTCTTACAGAAACAATACCTGTAAAATTTGTCACGCTAGAGAGTGTGAACATTCACCATTAACACCTGAGCTCGATATTTCCACAGTGCAGACACTGATTTCCATACAGTTTCAACCAAATACTGAAAACAAGTTTTTTTGCCTTCTGAAACCTCACCTTGTAACTAGGTTCTAACGCTCACAGATCATTTACAGCAAAAAACACTGAACCTTTGTTGAAACAAAGAAAATTGTACTTTATGGCAATACAGGCAGCAACTGGAAAGGACTTTCCTAGATGTGACCCAGTCATATACGTAAGCTGAGTTTTGCAATGTATATTGCTAAGATGTGGATAGTTTTGTTTCCTCATGCCCTGGTTCAGCTTTAGTTACCAACCTTTTCAACCCACCCAGCTTTATAGACAACATTTAGGAATCTTACTATTATGAGACATAGTAAAGAAAACTTGTTTAAACACCTGTGTCTCCTGACACACTTTTCTAAGCCTGCAGCTAAGATAATACAAAATAAAGGAATACAAAAGAAGGAACGAGAGAAGGACAAGCGCTTGGTTTTCCCAATGTCTTCATTTCAGTCCCTAGCTCTAAATAGCAATTTGTATTTCAACAATCAACAGTCATACACTTGTCCAAGTCAGTAAGTCTGATGGGTCTGGGGAAGAGAGGGAAAAGAGGGGACACTAGGACACACCAGCAGAACCTCACTAATCTGAGCAGAGTCCAATACTCCATTTGCATCAGTGTAAGCCTGTAACACAGCAACATACTGGTTGCCAGTGCAAACATTCTCCGGATGAAGACACATGGAGGCCTCCATCACAGTTCTGCCTCCCTCCCCGTGAAAATCAGGATCCTAGCAAAAGACAGGAGCAGCAACTCTAAAATGCACATATACTAATAAGAAACATTGCTTTTGCTGCTGCTACCACTACAAAAGAGGAGGCAGCAGGTGGCATTTAGCTAGCACATCATTAAATTCCATAAAAATGGGGTTCTACTAGGCTTAAAATATAATCTGAGGCAGAAAGGCAAGCATACCATTTCAGTTCCTAAAATACAAACATAGTCTGAAGTCTTACTTTTGGTTAGGTTGCCCTCCCTGGCACTGGGACTTATATCCAACTGTTCAAGTCCCAACTTCAGTGCAACTATTCACAGGAACAAGAGCATCAAAAGTACCCTTACTGATAAGCACCATTCCTCACCTACCTCATCGTTTTGACCACCAGCTTGTAAGACATTTCTCTCCACTTCCCCATACAACTGGCAAGATGCCTCAGTCAATACCAATCACAGTATTTTCACAGAATAAAAAAGCAAAATGCCTTTTTTATACCCCACTTTTTTTTTTAATGCTCTGAAGTGACAGGGGTCCTTGTACTACCAGTACTGGTTCCTTGTTGCAAGAAGCCGCCCTATAACAGCACACAGCTCCCCATACAGATGTTGCCTTCTGAAACACCTGCCTATATTAAGAGCAGATTTGACTTACTCTCTTTGCTTATCCTCATCGGGAGTCATTTGGTTCCTCTTTACAGACCACCAAGCACCATATGGAGCAGCATAATCACTACTGGTGTGGGTGTGACATTCTGACATAATAAATCCAAGGTGTAGGTGTGTCTGATTTTTTCCCCTAACACTACAAATAAACAGACCAAGCAATCCACTCAAGGCCACACAGCCACCTTCCTCATGTTTATACTAAAAGCGGTCATGTTTCCTAACATAGGAGGCATCTGTTACCAGTCTAGAAATTTGCTACATCAGTATTTCATTTAATGTATATCACAGGCTACATAACTATGGTTAGGCAATACTACAAAACACTTGGAAGATTAAAGTAGTATGTGGGCAGCATAGACGAGTAACTTTCTCTACCGTGTTTCAGACAAAGCAAGTCACATTATGTCAGTCAGCAGTTATCACCCACTCATGACAACAGGAACTTCTAAAAATTAAATACAGAGCACTGCTGCTTTGGTAGAATATATAATTTTGCCTTGGTGTTTGCAGCTTGGGGGGGGGGGGGTTGTAGTCATTCATCAAGAGGCTACTGTCATTTCCAAAGCATTTCTACACCCACAGATTCCACTCTCACCTTCAAAATGCTACAGCAGCGATATTCATAGTCTATAGATTTTAACTTTCATAAAACAGAAGCTGTGATATATTAAACAATCTAATTTGGATATTCAGGGAAATCCTCACAGATAAGATGTTAAATCTAGCACAACTGGAACGCTAATGCACATCTCTAGATCTAGGTTCACAAATTCTTTTGCCTCTCAGGAGGCGTTAACTTTACAAGGCAGACCTAAGCCACACTGAAGTTCCAGGTTCAGCCAATACTACCACCAGAGGTAGTCTTGATCCCTTTCCCTGCTGCGTTCCCCCCCTCCAAAATCCACAACCGTTAATCATCCTACTCAGTGGAGCAAATAGTCATACAGCAAATCCTGTAGCACATCTTCTGATCAATGTGATCTTGTACCACGTGCCAAGAAAACAGTTTTAAGCCTTCCAATTTACCTCCCCAGAGCTCATACAAATGCCAGTGTGGGTGCAGTCAGGAGGCAGCCGGAGAACAAGGATGGGAGGGTCAGAAGCAGTGCTAGCTTCTGAGAGCGCTCATGGAAATGCGGCACTCCTGCAATGCCAGCCTACACCAGCACCACAGGCTACACCACACTTGAAGCTAACACACAGAAATGGACGAAGCTGGGGGAACAGGGGCAGAACGGAGGCAAGAAAAAATAAAGAAAAAAATTTCCTTTTGTAAGCTGTTGGCTGCTCCCCCCGTCATTTATCAATACAAAGCATCAAGTCTA